AAAAAAAAGTCTGAAAGAAATGAAAATGTTTCAAACCACTGGTAACTGGTGACATGTTTATTCATGGATTACTAACAAAACCGCGTCCTAAACATATCTTAGAAGCAGCCCATGAGCGAGTGAGTTTAGTTTTATGCCACTTTTAGCAATATTCCAGCAATATCACAGCAGGGGACACCAGAAATGGGCTTCACACATGGTACCCATGTGGGGAATCGAACCTGGGTCCTCGGCGTGACGAGACAACGCTTTAACCACTTGGCTACCCAACAGCCCCAGCACCCCATGAATAGTCCCAACTTTGCGAGGAAATGAAAACTTAACTTTATCACAAAAGTTTATGTACTATATTATCGATGGCACAATTTTCATATCGACAATCATATCATTAATAATTTTTCCTATCAACGATATTTCCAACTATCGATCATTTCAGCCAGCCCTAGTACGTACTGAGCACAACATAATGAATCAAGACCTTATATAATGTTTCATCTTACAACACTGAACACACATCCTACACAAATGTAAACTACTAGATTCCATATCAACAACATTTATCATCTTCTCATTATTGCAAAATTGGATAATCAATATATATATTTTTATATTTCAAAGGCACATCAAAGTAAAGAGTTACAAACAGAAATTCACTTGATATTGTGTATAAATATATGCATGTATGTACATAAGTTTTGAAAATTTAACATACTTGCAATGAATAGGTTAACATTTTTAAAATATTTCAACAATAAACTAATCTTATATTTCTAAAAACAATAAATTTTTCTTATGAAAAAAGCAACATTCTTCTAAATGTAGTAAATATTCTTTCAGCAAAGCGCTCACATTAACTGACTGACTGACTGAGTTTAGTTTGACGCCGCTTTTAGCAATATTCCAGCAATATCACGGCGGGGGACACCAGAAATGGGCTTAACACATCGTGCCCACTCACATTAACATTAGTTTCAATTGTTTTGAGAATAGTCGCCATGATTATTGGGTCAAAATCCATTTGACCTTATCACTCAAAATCCATATCTTGTGTGACTGAAATGTGAATCCTGGCCAGAGATTTCAGCAGCTTCAGTCTTGAAAACCTGTCCACATGACCAATTTTGTGAGATCTATATTATTCCTAAACACACAAACAGCTTTCTCAGTGTTCCACGTGAACCTGTGTGACAATTCAAGAACTACTTCCACACAGAAAACAAAAGCAAGATATTAACAATAACATAACTGATGTTAAAACAATTGTCTTTTTCTCTATATTTCTTTTCTTTTCAAAAATCAATATTTCTTTCATTTAAAAAAATAATAATCTCATGATAAAGACTCAACTGTTTCTAAAATATATAATAATGAACAGCAGACATTCTAAAACACATTAAGTCAAGTCGGTGGTGACTTCATAATTTAGTAATTTGGATTAGTTTTAGACAGCAGCCATTTCATGACATGTCGAGGACCCAATCAGCGAGCTTCATGTTCAATAACAGCATCACATGCTTAGAACACATTACTCCATTCAGCCTATAAAATAAAATACAAGAACAAGAATTTCAATTAAATCACTGCATGTGATTGAAAAACAGACAACTTTCAGCATGGTAAGTATCAGTTAAGACTTTCAAATGAACAAATGCATCAGCTAAAATGCCATCCTCCATTGTAGCATTTAGCAACAGAGAAATATACTTTCAAGTCTGAACGTGAGTGGAACGACACCAACACTGGGGACTTTATTTTGTTTCTCTCAGGACAAAAAATAGAACAATCATCCCTGAAAGATTGAATTATGGCGCGGCTGTACTACATTCAGCAATAATAAGACAATATTGTTTCCAAGATCAACCTCATCATGATAATTATAGACACAATATGTACACAACTCTATCTACAAGTAACCAAGGTGACAGGAAATCGGACAGCAACCTGGCTCAAGATTTCTCAGAATAACAAATATCAGAATATACAAATGACATGAATGGAATTAAAACCTAATAAACACAAGCATTGGTACAAACACAAGGATATTTGCTGTTCTCATTTATGTGGAAAGAATGTGGACTATTTCAGCTGTTGAAAGATTTGACCGCAATAATATTAGTCAAAATATACTTCAGTCCTACAAGCATGGCAAATAATGTTTCAAGAGATGGCATGTCATGTTGATATGTGCCATGTTGAAGGCAGAAGTGGCACTACCAAAGTTAAAATACACAGCGCCAGAAACGACACAAATGAACAGAACGGCAGTCCAGGAAATCTAGAATCCAAGGGATTTGGGCTGCTATTTTCTTACCGACCTTGACCTGGTACCAATTGCCAGAACGTGTAAATCAGTTACAAATATAATACAGCAGATTCAGTTAATGGACGCAGATCCAGAGTTGAAGTGTGACATGAAACTATCTAACATATCCTCTGAAAGTTGTACACAACTGCTACAAAATATGCTACAGAAGTGAGTGAGTGTGTTTAGTTTTACACCACTTTTATCAATATTCCAAAAGTATATTTCAGAAGACCCTAATGCCCGGTATTTGTGACAGAGGAATCATCAGAGGACATGGTAGACGACCTTGAACACACAGAAGGTACCTTTTGCAACTACTGTTCATAACTTTTAACATCATTAAATGACCTCTGATATAAAAAATATCCTTGGTCAAATATACTGATTTTGAAATCACTTTCATGATTAATATCACGAAATCTGAGATCAAACTATAATTTATAAAGAAATAATTCTGCAAGAAAATATTCAGGACATATACCACAACATGATTAAAGTCCCTTTTGGCAATAACTTCATAAAATTTAATTCTTTGATTGGGTTGAAATATACTGTATATAGAAAAATAGGACTATATAGGCACATAAACAATCTTGGTTTGATCATGGGTTTCGGTTAAATCCACTTAAACACTGACAATTCAACAGTTGTTCAGCCACTTTTTGTGGCTAGCCTCTTAAAGGATTGTAGAAGGCTAGGAACAAGAAAATATTTTGAAGGAATTTCAGTAAAGTTCATCGATACCACCAAGCCTACTACGAAACTTGTCACTTATCATGTTTATGACTAGTTTAAACTCCATCTCCAAAACGATCTCTGCCTATAGTAAATGAAACTTTAAATGCTGGACTCTGGGAAGGGAAAATGAACATGAAACTAAAACCTGGACATTTGAAAAATATACCAGTGGCTTTGTATCTGATGATGTACCATGATTCCAATGGCTTCAAATTAACTGAAATAGTGTATATCAACACATATCTGCTAGAACTGCATGGTATTACTGGTGCCCTTTAAACTGCTTTTCAAATAATATGCAATCAAATAATAACAAAAATAATAAAAATATGTGTTGTCATTTGTAGTGTTTAACTGAAATCTACACATAAATTCATCCACAATGATGATTCCCTTGAAAACAGATTGACAAAATGGCAGAATGCAGAAGTGATTTTTCTTTCATGTTGTTATCTCCCCTGTATCCATGGCAACAAAATGGCATCCCTGACTAAGTAATGCAGAGGAATATTAATTTGAGAATGTAGATATCATTTTCCCAACCCTGTCGACCAACTAATACTTGCAAATATGAGTTCTTGATGAAGAAAGCACCAACACTATCAACAGTACAACCACATGTTGAGAACTGCATTCAGATACCTAAATTACGAAGAATTATTTCCTGATGGAAGAATGATATGTCAACACTTTTCAAAACAATGAAAGTCATGAAATATAGTTTATGAAAATACCATTATATTCATATAAAAAGCAGTAAATAAATAGCCAATCTTAAAGCACACAGTCAAACAGGTCTCATTTTTTGTGGAAGGCACAGGCACACAAAGGACCTGAGGAGCATACTTCAAATCACATCAAATCACAGCCCCTGTATACTGCAATCTGTAACTCCATTGTGATAACTGGTGGGAAAATCTGAAAACCCTCCACAGCGTCCTTCCAATCAACAACTTAAATTCTACATCAGGCAAGGGAATCTGATGGGGTCATGGTTGGCACAGTTACCACAGATTTGTACCCTAGCCTAATTCAGAAAACAGAAACATACCCATGGATGAGTCCATTCCACACCATTTTCTTGATCGGGAACTGTCATACTGTTGTATGAGATGCTTTCGATTGCAATATATCAGAAGCAACTAATATTTCGCGATGTAGTGTCACTTGTACTCATGTAAATGGAACTATAACATAAACCGTTTTCAGTTTTAGGTACCAGGTACGTTTATTAGGGTTGGGAATTGGTTAAAATTTCATAATTGATGATTGGTTAATTACATCCAATCAATCATCGAAAATAATTGGTTAGCGTCATTTATCAAATGTTCCTGTTATCATTGTTAATGCACACGCAATTTGTTTTAAAAAACATGTAATAATTTGGGTTGTTTTTTTGCAAATTGCACAAAATCTATTGGCAAATTTCGCATATTTAAAGGATGATTAGTATGTAAAGAACTCAGACTTTCTGGATTCTTTAAGATAGATTCAATCATGACTTGGAACGAGCTTGTAGTGCTTATGAAATGTAAATTTAATAACACAGACAAAACCAACCTTGTGTAAAATATTGTTGACGAATACAAGTGTTCCAAAATTGGTTGTGTTTGATTATGAGAAAACACAATCAATTGCTTGGTCGTTTAGGCACTGCTACCAATCTTCGATTATTTCAATTAATCGGACCACCACTAATGTTTAAGCATTCAGACTTTGTTTTAAGGTACATTTCTGTATACAGAAACATACTGGGGTATATCTGTAGTACCTGTGCCCACAACACCTTCAGCGAAAGTGAATTATTCACTGCAGTGTATATCTGAATTCTGCATCTCGAAAATGATCATAGGCGGTCAGTTCTGAATGAAAATAAAAAAGGCCACAGAATTACAGTTATGAGATCTCATTTCATGTGAGTGTCACACAAACAGATGCACAATCAGAGAACTATTACTGTCCTGTAAGGATTTTATTTTGTTTTGAAGAAAGCTGCATTGTTTTACAAATCTAACATCTGATTTACTAGTGCATCTTTCATTTACACTGGACGAACAATGTTCAATCGGGTTTCACCCTACACAACCCTCCATGGAGGTATTCTCATCTCTTGACCCAGAAAGTTATCATATTGGAGTGATATATCCGATTTTAATGAGATTACAGATCACATATCCATTGAAGACGATGACAATTCAAAATCCATCACTTCCTGAATTGTTTCAGGAAAACTATCAGAACATTCACGGTGAAGAATACACTGACCATTTCTTGCTATATTCTAGTCTTTCAGTGTGCAGTGAAGTATTTTAGTTCAATTCGCTTTTAAAAAACACTTTAAAATGCTTAAAAAATCTGTAAATGGCTTTTGATAATTTTGTCAAAAATTGCTAAGAGCAAAATATCACTTAAAACTATAAGAAAACCTTTTCTTGAATGAATCAGAAAGATATCTAAAAGTTCTAAAAACCAATATTTTAAGGTATTGTATACATTTGCATCACAAGTAAATTTATGTTTTCCGAGTTTGAATGAGATCTTGAGCCTTGAAGTTATGAAACAGAATCTAATCTTGGCATTAGTTGCAGAAGAGATACCGCATACCTCCCTACCAACGAGCTTATGAAATTTGTGAACCCTGGCTTAAACAACTCGTGGGCACATCATGGCGTATGAGATAAAAAACATATGTGTGATTCACAAATGTAACATGACATCAGAAAATAGTCCATTTTGACACAAGAATATCATACATACATTATGATATTAAAATACTGCAATTATATACGATTAGTTCACATGTTCATGCATAACCTTGACATTGTTATTCCCATGGCCATTGACAGCACATTTTTCCACTTTAGGCTCCCTCCGATTTGTCCGTAGAAAATCACTCTTCAAAAGCCTCCAGAAGAGAATGGGGTTTATAACGTTCATGACGACCATGGACGACCCCAGGCTGAAGTAATATAAGGCAGTCACCCGCTCGTACCAGAAGCACATCCCGATCGTAATGGACACTAGGGACAATCCTCGAAATATAGCAAACGTGACGAGGTTCATGAAGGCAACGAACTTGTAGATCCAGTTTTCAAATCTTATCTGGATCATCTGCAGCAGCTTCCTGGAGTGAAGCCAGAAGGAGTTGACTTCGGCCAGGAGAGCCACCATGTTGAAGGCTATAGCCACGCGGTAATGCATGTTGTACCAGAACATGGAGATCACCTGTAAATGTATACAATACTTGTTTGATCGGCATTATAAAATAATAAGGAAAAAACTTTATCGATGAACAACTTCTTTATTCACATGATGCAACGTTTCGATAAAGATTCTTGTATCGTTGAATCTGTATCTAAACGTGGCATCACCTGAATAAAGAAGTTGTTCATCCATAAAGTTTTCTCCTTGGCCGATTCACCAACTTCTAAATATGCCAAACAAAGAAGGCATTCTAAAAGTTTGAAGTCAATAATGAAGCATACAAGCATTAAGGATAAAAACCTTTTGTTTATTGCATAGAGCAGTGTTTCTGAGTAGATTCTTACACCATTCTTACACCAAACGTCGCTCCATGCAATAAACAAGCAGTTTTTGTCCTTAAACTCAAATCCATTAATATAAACAAGCGTTTACGGTTTTGGTTACCATATGACACATTTCAGAATGTGTGTGTTATAATGTATCATTTATGTATTATACTGATACATTTCAGCATTTATGTATGATACAAATTAACCATTATCATGGTTAAAACAAAAATGTGAATACTTCAACAAATTTCTATCTATTTTCAGCTGCAATGTGCATACTTAACAAAATATGAAATTAGATCACACAAGAATTGTCCATAAAGCCTGATACGTCCCACACAAATGACCTATCTAGTCTATCAAGAATGGCCTGTCTAAGCTGTGATATCTTACAAGAATGACCTATCCAGTCTAGGATAACCTACAAGAATGACCTATCCAGTCTAGGACATCCTACAAGAATGACCTATCCAGTCTGGGATATCCGACAAGAATGACCTATTCAGTCTGGGATATCCTACAAAAATGACCTATCCAGTCTAGGACATCCTACAAGAACGACCTTTCCAGTCTAGGACATCCTACAAGAATGACCTATCCACTCTAGGACATCCTACAAGAATGAACTATCCAGTCTGGGATATCCTACAAGAATGACCTATCCAGTCTGGGATATCCTACAACAGTCATCCATCCAATCTAGGACATCCTACAAGAATGACCTATCCAGTCTAGGACATCCTACAAGAATGACCTATCCAGTCTAGGACATCCTACAAGAATTATCTATCCAGTCTTGAACATCCTACAAGAATCACCCATCCAATCTAGGACATCCTACAAGAATCACCTATCCAGTCTAGGACATCCTACAAGAATGACCTATCCAGTCTAGGACATCCTACAAGAATGACCTATCCAGTCTAGGACATCCTACAAGAATGAACTATCCAGTCTGGGATATCCTACAAAAAAGACCTATCCAGTCTGGGATATCCTACAACAGTCATCCATCCAATCTAGGACATCCTACAAGAATGACCTATCCAGTCTAGGACATCCTACAAGAATGACCTATCCAGTCTAGGACATCCTACAAGAATGATCTATCCAGTCTAGGGCATCCTACAAGAAAGACCTATCCAGTCTAGGAAATCCTACAAGAATGACCTATCCAGTCTAGGACATCCTACAAGGATGACCTATCCACTCTAGGACATCCTACAAGAATGAACTATCCAGTCTGGGATATCCTACAAGAATGAACTATCCAGTCTGGGATATCCTACAAGAGTCACCCATCCAATCTAAGACATCCTACAAGAATGACCTATCCAGTCTAGGACATCCTACAAGAATGACCTATCCAGTCTGGGATATCCTACAAGAATGACCTATCCAGTCTGGGATATCCTACAAGAATTATCTATCCAGTCTGGGGTATCCTACAAGAATCACCCATCCAATCTAGGACATCCTACAAGAATGACCTATCCAGTCTAGGACATCCTATAAGAATGACCTATCCAGTCTAGGACATCCTACAAGAATGACCTATCCACTCTAGGACACCCTACAAGAATGAACTATCCAGTCTGGGATATCCTACAAGAGTCACCCATCCAATCTAGGACATCCTACAAGAATGACCCATCCCACCTAGGACATCCTACAAGAATGACCTATCCAGTCTAGGACATCCTACAAGAATGACCTATCCAGTCTGGGATATCCTACAAGAATGAACTATCCAGTCTGGGATATCCTACAAGAATTATCTATCCAGTCTTGAACATCCTACAAGAATCACCCATCCAATCTAGGACATCCTACAAGAATGACCTATCCAGTCTAGGACATCCTACAAGGATGACCTATCCAGTCTAGGACATCCTACAAGAATGACCTATTCAGTCTAGGACATCTTACAAGAATGATGTATTGAGTCTAGGACATCCTACAAGAAAGACCTATCCAGTCTCAGATATCCTACAAGAATGACCTATCCCAGGAAGGATACACAAGAAGATCACCTATCCAACACAGAATATCCAAAAGGATGACCTATTCCACCAGGGATGTACCAGAAGGATCAGTGAATGAATGTTGTTTTATGTTGCACAACATGATCAAGTCTGGGCTAGTCAAATCTGTTGCTGATACAAGGTACAAACCAATGACACACAAAGTGCCAAGTTACAGTGCCAAACCACTTGCTCTTCATTTTAGTCAGTCCTAAGACAGACATGAAGAACCTGGGACCTATTCTGAAGCAGAAACAGCATGTGGAATGCTAGTTGACCTCTTCTGCCCAAATTGTGCCTGGAACATCCCAAGGTTAACAGGCAGGCTTACAGGTGAGGTGAGGTGAAATTGGGTTTAACGTCGTGCTTGAGAATATTTCACTCATATGACGACGTGCATGCGTGTGTACGTGTATGTGCGGCTGCTTGTACTAGCCCAGACTGAAGCTGGTTTTATAGTGCTAGCCCACTGAGATACCATGCCACAGTGAAGCATGAATACCCCACTCAGACACTTGTACTGTTGTAGATCATGTACACCACGGAGGAAGTCACTTACAGCTAAATGTGAAGTAACCTTGTGGGAGATCATGTCCAAACAATTGAAGGTGTTAGAACTGGTCTGAAGTCATCCATTCATCATTCATTCATTCATTCCAAGAATCCTAAGAGTGAAAAAAATATATAACATATGTGAGGTGGTGAACTGGAGTTGAACATTGTACTTAAGAATATTTCGCTCATATGACGACATGCATGCATGTGTATGTGTGGGTGCTTGTACTAGCCCAGACTGAAGCTGGTTTTATAGTGCTAGTTCACTGAGATACCATGCCGCAGTGAAGCATGAATACCCCACTCAGACACATTATACTGAATCCGAGTTGACCAGTCCTTGTTGTACCCATTAATGACGAAAGTGCCAGGCAGGGACCAACAAGTACCATATCCATGCCACAGTGAAGCATGAATACCCCACTCAGACACATTATACTGAATCCGAGCCGACCAGTCCTTGTTGTACCCATTAATGCCGAGTGTCAGGCAGGGACCAACAAGTACCATATTTAAACGTCTTTTGGTATGACGCGGTCGGGGATCGAACCAGCGACCTTCCGCGCTCCGGGCGGACGCTCAAACCACTACACCACGGAGGCAGTCGGCAGGTTTACAGAGCCGGACTTACAGCTAAATGGTGAAGAGTGACCTCCCACATCTTGAAGATCTTGTTGTTGTAGATCATGTCCAGGAAGTCATATGTGAAGTAACCTGTGGGAGGAAAACAATTAAAGGTGTTAGAACTGGTCTGAAGTCATCCAAACATTCATTCATTCCAAGAATCCTAAGAGTGAAAAAAAAAATATAACATATGTGGGGTGGTGAAATGGAGTTGAACATTGTACTTAAGAATATTTCGCTCATATGACGACATGCATGCATGTGTATGTGTGGGTGCTTGTACTAGCCCAGACTTCAGCTGGTTTTATAGTGCTAGTTCACTGAGATACCATGCCGCAGTGAAGCATGAATACCCCACTCAGACACATTATACTGACTAGGAGCCGACTAGTCCTTGTTGTACCCATTAATGACGAGTGCCAGGCAGGGACCAACAAGGACCATATTTTAACGTCTTTTGGTATGACAAGACCTCGCTTTGGCTCAGGCAATACAAAATTTAGCACAAGTTTCGTATAAGTTGTGTGACACACTTGCAAGTGTAATAATTTCTTTATTATCCATTTTATTCATGTACATTTGTGGAGTAAAACACCATAAGCAAGTTTGACAGCCAGTTCATTGACGTCACGTTTAATTGTTTAATGACGTCACAGACAACGAAACACAGAAACAATGGTTGCTAGGCAAAAGTAATATGTGCACATATGACTGACTGACTGACTGAGTTTGGTTTTACTCCGCTTTTAGCAATATTCCAGCAATATCACGGCGGGGGACACCAGAAATGGGCTTCAGTGCACATATGATATTTATGACACTGGTTATGTTTCACCATATGGATAATAATTGGGATTACACTTTCTCAGTAAAGTACAGATTCTAGTACTTTTGGTGGGTTGAGTCCCATCCGGAATTTGACCCCATACCCTCAGTGTCAGGCACCCAATTGCCAGCACACAAACAAAGTCAGATCAATGTTAATTGAAGATTGGACACGCACATTCATAAAAAACACCTGAATATTCAACAGAGGCCCCCAGATAATTTCAATAAAAGTTCACCTTCCAATGGTCTGATTGTGCTGCAACAGATGTTCATGCTATAATTGATCGTTGGTAGGTTTGTTGGGTTTTTTTCAGAAAAAAGACACTATGATGTACACATATTTGAGGATCCAATTTTGAATGCACATGATCAAATAAAACAAACTCTTAAACAAAAACTACCCTCAAGTATCTATGCACGTTTTAAAAAGGACTTCATTTTAACATGTTTTAAGCAGGATAAAGGCCTTAGTCATGATTATTTTGCAAATGGCCTTGAACTAGCACCACATCCAAAACTAATCGTGACTTTGAGTTTCCTTGATTCACTGGTCTGCAACTTTCTCAAACGTGAATCCAAGTCATGAAGTCAAATGTCCCTGATACCAAGTGCTAAAGAATTTGCAATCGAGTGAGTGAGTGAGTGAGTGAGTGAGTGAGTGAGTGAGTGAGTGAGTGAGTGAGTGAGTGAGTGAGTGAGTGAGTGAGTGAGTGAGTGAGTGAGTGAGTGAGTGAGTGAGTGAGTGAGTGAGTGAGCAACCATTGCTTTACATTGCTTTTACCAATATTTCAGCAAAATCATGGCAGGGGACACCAGAAAGGGGCTTCACACATTGTACCAATGTGGGGAATTGAACCCGGGTCTTCAGCATGACAAGCAGATGCTTTAACCACTTGGCTACCCTCTGACTTTGTATTTAGGAATGGCATGATTGATTTTCATATACAATTCAAAGGAACTGGTCTGGTATGACAGATTAACTATAGTGATATGAAAGTATCCGATGGTCCATGCAATCTTTTGTAAGGTAGAATGGCGATAAACACACTGTTTTCCATGTCTCCCTCAATCACTTGTGGATCTAGCTATAACAAATTTAACATTTAAAACACATCTGTGACACAGTTTGAGCATTCGGTTGTTTTTAATTAATGCTGAATACTTTACCATTGTTGAACCACTTTTAAAACATGAATCAAATCCATTTGCAATTGACAGAAATGTTTTCTGTTCAGAGATCCATGCGTGCAGTTCACAATGAAGTATTTACAAGATCCTTTACACGATATGTCACGAGAGAAAAGTCAAGACTACTCTTGCACTTGGGTCTAGTTCAAGGCTGTTAGAGAACAAGCTTCACATGTAACATCAATACTGACTTTGAGGACCATATCCAACTTAAAACAAATCCCATTCAAAACATGTTATAAACTAATGGCCAGCCAATATGCACATGCACAGATACTATAGGAATCCCGGACGGGACTCACCCCAAAATAACTAGAATCTGTACTTTACTAAGAAAGTAATCCCAAATATAACATGTTACATTTGACCACTTTCTAAAACGGCATTGTGTATTTCAGATACTATAGGGTCATTTATTTCACTTTGTTTAAGAGTCAAAAGTTGACTGAGGTGAGGTGAAATGGGGTTTAACGTCGTACTTAAGATTATTTTCCTCACATGACGACGTACATGCATGTGTACGTGTGGCTGCTTGCACTACCCTAGACATAAGCTGGTTTTATAGTGCTAGCCCACTGAGATACCATGCCGCAGCTAAGCATTAATACCCCACCCAGACACATTATACTGACTCCGAGCCGACCAGTCCTTGTTGTACCCATTAATGCCGAGCACCAGACAGGGACCAACAAGTACCATATTTTAACGTCTTTTGGTATGACGCAGCTGTGGATACGAGTCAAAAGGAGACAGGAAAGCTTGTATCTATGAGATCATGATCATCATCATACAAAATTACATCTTCAAGTAGATCTGTTGCAGATCAAACTATAACTATAAAAGGACGTGTTGATATTTAGCTGAAAAACTATTGAAGGGTGAACTTTCATTGAAAACTACTGCAGGCTTCTGTTTAATATTGAGACTATTAAAGGCTTTCACTATGAACACACTTGACCATGTTTCAATTGACATTTATCTGACATTGTTTTAACAACAGTTATAATCTCATAACCAGACTGAAACCTCAATGGTTCCTTAGAATCCTATAATCCTTAAAATATTCTTTCCCTATACTGACAGTGTCAGTTTCACAGTTACATTCTCCTGAAATGAGCAAGTGAGTATAGTCTTATGCCGCTTTTAGCAATACTCCAGCAATATCACAGCAGGGGACACCAGAAATGGGCTTCACACATTGTACCCATGTGGGGAATCAAACCCGGGTCTTCAGCGTGATGAGCCAACGCTTTAACCACCAGGCAACCCCACCGCCATGATCCCAAACTAAGGGCCTTTGGCAGGCAAACTGGAAACAAATGTTACCCCACCACCCACCTCCGGTTATTCAAACATGCTCTTCTGACACCCCTGGCAACCGCAGTTACCTTTACCCAGGTCAAAGGTGAATTCCAAAGTACTGAGGCCTAGATTACCTTGGAGCATTCCAATGAACTTTAGAGGGTGTTTTCAGCCTTGGCTCAATGACCTACCTTGAGTACACTGACTGCTCTACCAGACTACTGTGTACATATCTATAGCCATACACCACAGCAGATAAACCAAGGGTAGAAACATACAGTATTTCCTCTATTAGATGCCAGGGCCCTGTTTCACAAAGCTCTTGTAAGCCTAAGATCTCGTAACTTTCCTCGTAGCATTCCTACCTCCTATACTGTAACATTGACTTACGATAGTCATAGCGCTATGAGAGCTTTGTGAAACAGGGCCCAGGTCTCTATCAATGTGTGTCCAACCTTGACTCAGCATGTATTTGAGGCTCAGTGCTTACTGTTTAATGCTGGCACAGTAGCAACTCACTACCTCCAGATCAAAAATTCCACTGTCATATAATAGGAAAGAGTCATTACACTACAATTTTTTAATGACAAATTTGAACATTATTTTTCAGAAATGTTTTTTTTTAATTTGGCATCACGCTGATATTTGCCGATTAAAGTATACAAATTAAGCTCAGTTACTGACTGACTGGCTGAGTTTGGTTTTACACCGCTTTTAGCAATATTCCAGCAATATCACGGCGGGGGACACCAGAAATGGGCTTCACTCATTGTACCCATGTGGGGATTCGAACCCGGGTCTTCGGCGTGACGAGCCAACGCTTTAACCACTAGACTACCCCACCGCCCCTAAGCTCAGTTAAATACGAGACATTGGAGACATGATTTGGGAAATCGGTTAGCACAAATGTAACAATTTATACAGATACCTGATATGAAACGCTTTCCACTCTCAATCAAGTAATTGAGGTAAATTCAAGAAAAATTACTTGTTTTATGTTTATTTTGGCCATAACCTCTGTGTGCAATTTTTGGACAAAATGTTCATTTTACTATCCAGTATTAAAGTGCAGACTATCAGTTCAGTTGTTCCTTTTGTAGTGAGGCCCCAACTGAAGACACCCACACTCTTTACAGCACCTTATGCTCAAGGTTAATCATCAAAGTATCACAGTAAAAAAAGCATAATAAAGATCTATCGTTAAATGAAATAGGCTTCTATTTTTATGACAGAGTATTCAATGATCAAAGCGACCACAGTGCTAAGATGATTGTAACTCTCATACTTTAACATAGATTTACGACTGTCGTAGCGCTACGATCGCTTTGAGGAACGGAGCCCTGGACCTACCAGAGAAAATACGGTATTTGCCATTGTCCACTCACAACAGGTGTACCCTGTGGAATTTAAGAGTGCAAACAAATAGAATTATTTCAGTTTGTCTTTAATTTCACATTAATATCAGCGAGTTAAGGAAGTAGTTGCAATTTAGATGTCTGCCTCCTGCTTTATGTCAACACTGACAACCTCATTATTCAATTTCTCAATCAAGTGGTTTATTTTTATGGATTATACAGTGATAATGTTTCCATATTTTTTTACATTATTTTACGTGTACGTGTACGTGCACAGATCGATTGAGTGCTTGATTTGCATGCTCACTACATCAGAATTCATTTCATTTCAAATCACCGGTAGATCGCTGGAAACGTGTGCACAGCTGATTGAAATTTCCGTCTGTTTCTGAGAGGGATACGCGATGTAATCTTAAT